TTATTATTAGCCTATTACTATTATTATCATTATTATTATTATAACCGAGATACTCTATAAAAATTCCCCCCACTCGGGGAATCAAACTAGGCGTCTCCTGCGTGCTACAGCGAAGCATCTAACCGCTACACCACACATGTCCTCAAACAGTAAAAGGAATCAGATGGAAACACTAGGGTCTAAAAAGTGGAAGAAGTGCTCACAAGACAAAAAATCTCGACTTCTAACTCACGTCAACGGAATTAGGTCATGGATGTGGTTGCCTTAGGTTAATTTACTTAACGGTTTACAACTCTTCAATCGATACTACACCTCATCTCAGTTCAGTGAACAGGATGATCAAGCAAGATGAAAGGGGTGGGAATTATAGAAGATCGGAGTTTTTCTATCTTGCCTACCTGACTGTTTCTATCTTGCCTACCTGACTGATACTATCGAGAAGTCACGACGGTATTGAAAGTCAACAGTTAATTAAGAGAGATAGCGAAACGAGACGGGGCGAAACGAGACAGGTGAACCACGGGCAGGCGTTCAGGGTTTTTGTTGCTTGCTTCGTGTTTTGTTGTTGTTGTTGGTGGTGGTGGTGGTGGTGGTGGGGATGGTGTTGTTATTGTGGTCGCCCATCCGTTCGAAATGTCTGGAGCCTCGAAGAGCGTGCTCTTCGCCAGGGCCACCGCCTCTCTTGGGTAGTGGGTGAGCCCTGAATCCTCCTCAAAGAGATGTCATCTCCGTACCTCCGTGGCGGGTCATCTCTGCAGCTAGTGCTCCAAATCTTGGGGTTCCTCGCTGCACAACGGACAGATTTGGTCCGATGTTTTGTCTATTCTATTTTTGTAGGCCCGCAGCCCAGTGAAATTTTTGCCGGTAGTGACTGGTCACTGCGGGATTTAATTTGAGTCTCCAGTTGTGAGGAAATTGCCCGGTATATTTCCTTTGTCCGCGTGTGGTCTTTTGTGATGAGTTTTATCCGGGCGCACGCACTGTCATAAGTATTTTGGCGGCCTGGACCCGGCTGCGCTGTTGCCGAGGATCTCGCAGTGACCAGGGATCCACTGAATCGTGGGTTGAGGAATTGCATTATTTATGCATAGCCGCATTTGGTCGAGGGATGGTGATGTTCCCACTAGTGCCATGCATAGGGATTGGCTGTGGGTGAAGACAGCGACCGAGCTGGATGCATCGCACTGTTGTTGTTGTTGTTGTTGCTTCAGTTATTTTTTTTGTATTATCTATTCCGTAATTTTAAAATTCGTTCATTCATTCATTCATTCATTCATTCATTCATTCATTCATTCATTCATTCATTCATTCATTTATTAATTAATTAATTAATTCATTCATTCATTCATTTATATACATTTTATATGTGTGTTGTTTTGTTGTTGTTTTTGTGGGGATTTTCTTTGGGTGGAGGGTAGAGGTGGAGTTTTCAGTTTTAGTTCACCTTGTTGGATATTTTTTTTAAACGAGTGAAATGAGACAGAGCATAACGGGGCGCTGGGAGGTCCATTATGAGTTTGTTTGCCCTTGTTCATTTTGTAGTTTTGGTTGTTCTTTAAAAATTTCTTTTGTTGTTTTTGTTGCGTTTTTGTTGTTTTTATTGTTTGGTAGGTTGTTGTTTTGTTTTGTTTTTGGGGGGGGTTTGTTGGTTTTTGCTGGTTTTGTTATTTTCGCTGGGGGGTTTTTGTGTGCAGGTTTTGTTGTTTTGTAGGTTTTGTAGGGAATCTTTCTTTCTTTTTTTTTTTTTTTTTG